GTTGGAGAGAAGTGCTCCAACACAACCAAGAGAAAAAAGGTCGTGAGTTGAAGAGAAAATGCTCCAACACTTGGTTGTGTTGGAGAGAAGGAAAAAATCCAAAAAGAAAAGGAATTGGTGGGAAGGGCATCAACCTTGGAAGCTGAAGAGAAGTTCTCCAACACAACCAAGAGAAATAATATTAAAAAAAAAACAAAAAGAAAAGATGTTGGTGTGAAGGGCATCAACCTTGGAAGTTGGAGAGAAGTGCTCCAACACAACCAAGAGAAAAAAGGTCGTGAGTTGAAGAGAAAATGCTCCAACACTTGGTTGTGTTGGAGAGAAGGAAAAAATCCAAAAAGAAAAGGAATTGGTGGGAAGGGCATCAACCTTGGAAGCTGAAGAGAAGTTCTCCAACACAACCAAGAGAAATAATATTAAAAAAAAAACAAAAAGAAAAGATGTTGGTGTGAAGGGCATCAACCTTGGAAGTTGGAGAGAAGCGCTCCAACACAACGAAGAGAAAAAATGTCGTGAATTGGAGAGAAAGTGCTCCAACACAACCAAGAAAAAAAATATTGTGAGTTGAGAGAAAGTTCTCCAACACTTTGAAGTTGGAGAGAAGGTGCTCCAACACAACCAATTTTTTTTTTTGAAGATTGAAGAGAAGTACCCCAACAATTGAAAGATTTAAGAGAAGTACTACAACAATTAAAGATTGAAGAGAAGTACTCCAATACAACAACAATAACAAGAAGAAAAAGGCAATAGTATACAACTTTGAATTACAGCAGAATGTTGGAAATAATAATTCAAAGTTGGAGTAGAAATCCTAAGTTGATTAGGATTTGTTATTCATGGTATTTACTTATTTATGTTTAATTAGGATTTGTTAGCTAGAGTGGTTCATAGTCCTAATTTAATTTGGTTTTTTCACTTTTATAAATAGGGATGTTACTTTTATTTTCAATACACAAAACATACACAGAAACATATAGAACTATTGAGTTTATAAATAAAATATTTTCCTTCAATTTATCTGTATAAAATTAGACTTGAGTTGTTTAGTAAAGAGTTTCAACGACCTCGAGAAGAACCAAAGGTGAATGGACTTAATAAAGAGATTTCAAGACATAGTAAACGTCAAAGAACATCTACTTCCTTCGCATATGATTTTGTAATATTTCTTCTTGAAAATGAGCCTCAAACATTCAAAGAAGTTATGTTTTTGTAGACTCATTCTTTTGGAAATAGGCTATCAATAATGAGATTTATTCAATCTTGAGCAATACATGGGAGTTGGTTGATCTTCTTCCAGGAAACAAACTTTTGGGTTCAAAATGGATAACAAAAGGTGTTCATTTTGGTCCTTCACCCTAAAACTAATAGATTTATTAAAATAATATTAAATTTAACTATGGACCCCACATGGCTTACAAAATTCACCATTCTTATATTTTTTGTTTGCTTCAAAGAAAAAACTCCATGAAATCTAACATAATCTTTTTCTACTTTCTCTAATGAAATTGATTATTTTCTCTAACAAAGCCTAACATTATTATTTTCTCTTTCCATGAGATCTTTCTTTGTAGCTAAGAAAGAAGACAATAATGGTTGATAAATCTTCTAGATTTAGAGTAAATGATCAAAATGAGCACCTTTAGTTATACATTAAGGACCATTTCAATTAAGAGAAATATATTATGGACCAAAAAAGCATCAAACGTACAAATTACCTAGGGTTACATATTGTTAGATATAGTTAGTACTTACTCATAAAATAGAAGATTCATTGTTCTTAGTTTTTATAGGGTTTACTTAAAGTTTTAATAGATTATTGTACGAGCATGATTCTCTTGAAAGAGCTACATTAATCAAATGTTTTGTTTACTTTCTCTTATATTCTTGTTCTATAGTAGTTTTAATTATTATAGTTATTGTTTACCGCTAATTATGAGTAGCTAAACACATAACTTGGATTAAGGAGCTTAGAGTAGGAATGAAGATAATAAATTATTTTAAAATAAATATCTTCTAATGGAGGTATGATCATTGTGTACTAAATTTCTTTCATAGTGATTGCCTTTTTTTAGTTGCAAACATTAAGAACTAGCTCGTATTCCAAAGGGAAAAGGGTCAAAAATACCCCTCAACTTTGTTTTATTGGTTGACTATACTCTTATCGTTAAAATGAAGTTATTCTTACCCTTGCCGTTTATTTGTACCCCTCAATTGGATGGAAAGCCCCAAATTGACCAAAATGATCCAATTTCAATTGAAATTACCCAATTCATCTTTTTGACCCAAATTCGAATCCAACCCAAACAAAACTCATGACAAATTAAATCCCAAAATCAATTTCTTCTTCATCTTCTTCCTCCCTGAATAAAAAAAATTATGGAGCTTAGAGTAGGAATGAAGATAATAAATTATTTTAAAATAAATATCTTCTAATGGAGGTATGATCATTGTGTACTAAATTTCTTTCATAGAGATTGCCTTTTTTTAGTTGCAAACATTAAGAACTAGCTTGTACTCCAATGGGAAAAGGGTCAAAAATACCCCTAAACTTTGTTTTATTGGTTGACTATGCCCTTACCATTAAAATGAAGTTATTCTTATCCCTGCCGTTACTAATTTCATTATTTGTAACCCTCAATTGGATGGAAAGCCCCAAATTGACCAAAATTATCAAATTTCAATTGAAATTACCCAATTTCATCTTTTTGACCCAAATTCGAATCCAACCCAAACAAAACACATGACAAATTAAATCCCAAAATCAATTTCTTCTTCATCTTCTTCCTTCCTGAATAAAAAAAATATTTTCATCTCTTTGCTCCATAAAAACTTCATACATTTGCAACATCATATATTCTCGTGGATTCATCAGCTTGTCGATTCAATTTTCTTACTTTAACATAATTTTCTTACTTTAACAGAATGAGAGATGAAGAAGATACACCCAATAGTAATCAAATATGCCTAGAGGAAATTTCACTCTCCCAACATGACACATATCATAAATAAACCCATGCCTCATAATTACGCCTGCAAAAAACGCAAGTTAAATTGGACTCTTGAACTGTGGAAATAGACAAATTACAACTCCCAATGTTAAGTCGTCATAAGACTTTGCAATTACATACACATACATGCTTTTAAGGGGATCACCATACCCGACTGATCATATCCCCTCACATTGAAAATTCTAAATTGCTAGCTAACATAAATATGTAACTCTAGAGGAAAGAGCACAACTTGTCTACAATCCATTGAGTTCTTGCGATTTGGGTTCTCATAGGAGATGGGTTTTGGGAGAAGATAATGGGTGTTTTGAGATGGAGGTGAAATAGGTTTGGGTTAAGTTAGTTGGGTCGGGTTTGGGTTAAAATAGATAATTGGGCAATTTCAATTGAAAACGAGTTAATTTGGGTCGATTTAGGAATTTTCATCAATTGAGGGGTACAAATGATGAAATTAGTAACAGTAGGGGTAAAAATAACTTTGTTTTAACGGTAAAGGTATAGTCAACCAATAAAACAAAGTTGAGGGGTATTTTTGATCCTTTCCCCTATTCCAATTCTCTTGACAAAACAAATTAAGACTTGGAAAAAATCATTAACAAAGATTTGGTGCTACCATTCACTGTCTAATAATTTGAGCTCGAGAGAGGATAGTTAACCTAAGACTTTTGATGAATGAACAAATTAATTAAACACCTCAAGTACCGACAAAGACTTAGGGTGATATTCTCTTAATTGTTCTAGGAGGCTTTAATAGACTTATAGATTCGTCAGATTTGCGCAGTGAAGACACCTGAGTGAGTTCATAGTAAAGTATTTCTTTGAGTTCAGCTCTAGAATCGTAAGCCTAGTTTGTCTTTATTTTTGATAATAATCCAAGTAGTTATAACTAATTCGAATTTTAATAAAAAATTATAGAGAACTCTAGTATGATCTCTATGGGATTCAACCTCAATCTAGTTGGGTTGCTGTATTTTGAAATTGACTGCTTTATTGCCCTAAAAATTATGTAGTTTGGAAGACATCAGACCACAACATCAGAAGCCTCAGATGTCTCTTTGTGAGTCAAACTATAGAGTGGAGCTTCATCCCATTATTAGTATTAGTAGCATTATTACCACCATTAGTGTTACGAGAATTTTGTGTGGGATTGGCATTACTAGAAGGTTGATTAATCATTTCTCTGACTATAAAGGCAAGCCAACTCTTTCTACCATTTATTTCTATTTTAATTAATGTGCCCCTTTATCCCACAATGATTTCAACTCGAGTCTATAAGTTATTGGATTTATAAAGCCTTTGATTGCATTTTGATAAGGCGTAGTCTGATTGTTATGATTCTTACCTAGCCTAACTGATAAAATGATTAGTGTGATAAGTGTGTACAATATGAACATCATCATAGTGTTTAAGAAATCTATACTAAAATCAAAAACTATACAACTGTTATATGGTTGGGACAGGTCCCCCACATTCATATTGATTTTTACTTAATATATTTAGAAATACTTTATTTTAAAAATCTATATTACTTTTGATGTGATTATTTATTACCACATAATGTCAAATACTTTCTTAAAAAATAAGTTTTAAAAAACATTCTTTTTTCAAAATATAGTGCCCACTCAAATAACGCTACTAAATGGAGAGGGTATTTAATTTCATTCAATCGAGGAAAAGTAATTTAGTTAGTAGCTGGAGCTCATTTGATCATAAAATAACATCTAAGCACAAAATTATCACCTAGAATTAGTTGAATAAATTAAATAATGATATAAATGAATATCAAACAAAAGCACTTGATTCACACATAAGTTGTCTTTTAATGTATCTAGAAAGTAAATTCAAAGAAACATAAATGTAAATACGCCATGCATTTTGAAGAAGAACATATTAATTATAATTCAAAATACGAGTTCTACTTCAAAATTGATACATATTAATAGCGTTTATTATTTTAGAGAAGAACCACCACCTCTTCCAAATCCTCCGCCTATGCCTTGTCCACCAATTCCAAACCCTCCTCCACCACCACCACCAGCAGCAGCAACATTGCCTTCCGGCAATACGTTTATTGCATTTCCAACACCACCTCCAATACCTCCGACTATTCCTCCCCCAGTTCCTCCTCCTAGTCCTCCTCCTATTCCTCCTCCCACTCCTCCACCTCCTCCTACAGGTATTATTCCAGGAACAATACTAGGTACACCTCCTATCAAAGGTATACCTGGAATATTGCCAGGTCCTCCTAACAAAGGTATTCCTGGAAGACCACCATATCCAAGTCCAGGTATCCCAGTTAAAGGTATATAAGGAATACCACCATATGCAGGTCCAGTGTCTCCACCTACCGAAGGTCCAACGGGGACATCACCCGGTCCTTGACCTGGTACTCCTCCTATTGAAGGTACACCCGGAATGCTGCTAGGTACTCCTCCTATTGAAGGTACGCCCGGAATGCTACCAGGTACTCCTCCTATTGAAGGTACGCCCGGAATGCTGCCAGGTACTCCTCCTATTGAAGGTATGCCCAGAATGCTGCCAGGTACTCCTCCTATTGAAGGCAGGCCCGAAATGCTGCCAGGTACTCCTCCTATTGAAGGTATGCCCGGAATGATGTCAGGTCCTCCTATTGAAGGTATGCCCGGAATAATGCCAGGTACTCCTCCTGTTGAAGGTATGCCTGGAATGCTGCCAGGTACTTCTCCTGTTGAAGGTATGCCCGGAATGCTGCCAGGTACTCCTCCTGTTGAAGGTATGCCTGGAATGCTGCCAGGTACTTCTCCTGTTGAAGGTATGCCCGGAATGCTGCCAGGTACTCCTCCTGTTGAAGGTATGCCCGGAATGCTGCCAGGTACTCCTCCTGTTGAAGGTATGCCCGGAATGCTGCCAGGTACTCCTCCTGTTGAAGGTATGCCCGGAATGCTGCCAGGTACTCCTCCTGTTGAAGGTATGCCTGGAATGCTGCCAGGTACTTCTCCTGTTGAAGGTATGCCCGGAATGCTGCCAGGTACTCCTCCTGTTGAAGGTATGCCTGGAATGCTGCCAGGTACTTCTCCTGTTGAAGGTATGCCCGGAATGCTGCCAGGTACTCCTCCTGTTGAAGGTATGCCCGGAATGCTGCCAGGTACTCCTCCTGTTGAAGGTATGCCCGGAATGCTGCCAGGTACTCCTCCTGTTGAAGGTATGCCCGGAATGCTGCCAGGTACTCCTCCTGTTGAAGGTATGCCCGGAATGCTGCCAGGTACTCCTCCTGTTGAAGGTATGCCCGGAATGCTGCCAGGTACTCCTCCTGTTGAAGGTATGCCCGGAATGCTGCCAGGTACTCCTCCTGTTGAAGGTATGCCCGGAATGCTGCCAGGTACTCCTCCTGTTGAAGGTATGCCCGGAATGCTGCCAGGTACTCCTCCTGTTGAAGGTATGCCCGGAATGCTGCCAGGTACTCCTCCTGTTGAAGGTATGCCCGGAATGCTGCCAGGTACTCCTCCTGTTGAAGGTATGCCCGGAATGCTGCCAGGTACTCCTCCTGTTGAAGGTATGCCCGGAATGCTGCCAGGTACTCCTCCTATTGAAGGTATGCCCGGAATGTTGCCAGGTAGTCCTCCTATCGAAGGTATGCCCGGAATGTTGCCAGGTAGTCCTCCTATCGAAGGTATGCCCGGAATGTTGCCAGGTAGTCCTCCTATCGAAGGTATGCCCGGAATGTTGCCAGGTAGTCCTCCTATCGAAGGTATGCCCGGAATGTTGCCAGGTACTCCTCCTATTGAAGGTATGCCCGGAATGTTGCCAGGTAGTCCTCCTATCGAAGGTATGCCCGGAATGTTGCCAGGTAGTCCTCCGATTGAAGGTATACCCAGAATGTTGTCAGGTACTCCTCCTATTGAAGGTATACCCATAATGTTGTCAGGTACTCCTCCGAGTAAAGGTATACCGGGAAGACCACCATATCCTAGTCCAAGTCCTCTAATTAATGGTACACCACCATTCTTTTGACTAGACATTGTTTTCACTCCATTTGTTAGTTCATCACTCTCTGCCAATTGCCTACCTAATATGCGCCCAACTAAAAGTATGGTTAAAACCAATATCAAAATGCCTTTCTCCCTCATTTTATTCTCTAAAATTAATCTCAACTATTTCAAATTGTTGCTGAACCTCATGCTATTTTATAGGTGGTAGAACATGAATTATAGAATTAATAACATCATATCTACTCCTAAGCTAATTCTAACTTTTAATTTCTTTTATTTATTGTGGAAAAGAGAAAAGCACATCGATCAACACCTTAAATTATTAAGCAATGAACTCTTTAATTCAACTCCTATTTAGTCAATTTTGTAAAACATGAATTAAATTACCTAATTAATAAGGGCATATCTACTATTAATGAACTAATTCTACCTTTTATATATTTTTAAATGTTTGAAACTTATAGAAGAAATTGAAAGTAGGACAACATCAAATTAATAAATTTGAGTCAAATCAAGAAAAGAAATCAAACTAAATTAGAAATAAAGTCAACATTTTTTTATGGGGAAAGAGATGCAATTTTCTAATGTATTTAGGTAGGATTAATGTGTTAAACAATGAAGAACAATTCATAAAAAAAGAATGGAAGTCAAATCATGAGTGATTACAGGACGTTACACAAGTAACTGAAGATTAGAAAACATTGCAAAAGTGGTTCAAGATTATTTATTATAAAATAATATTGGCACTGATATTTTTGTATTATTAGAGATGACAAGTGTAGAGTTAATCTATGGTTCAAAATGTTTTTCAATTTCTTTGGTTGGCTTAAATGTTTGGAAATATTTTCCAAATCAACTCATTTTCCTCAAATTTAAGGAAAATGACTTTCCTTCCAATTTTTTTTTTTTTAAATATGTATTTCCTCAAAAAAAATAAAATTCCTCAAGTTTTTCTTTTTAAAAAGATATATTTTCCTCATTTTAAAAAAAAAGATATATTTTCTCAAAAAATATGATTTTTTTAAAATTTTGTTATTTTTTCAATTTCAAATATATATTTATCGCTACTCGGCTATCCCC